CATTTTCCAAAATTTCCCGATTCCCAACACAGATTCGTTTATTACGATATCGAATTAGTCTATGTGAATTTTTTCAGATTTTTAATAGGCCTAATAAGAATTTTCATTTTCCCACCTGAGACTTCAGTACGATATAGTCACCGAGCCATCTTCGGACGGCTGAAAGTGCCAGAAAACGGCGGAAATCCACGCGAATTATCGCTTTTTTAGTAGAAAATGACACGCTGAATCTAATGAGACCATGATCAGCCCGATAGGACAGATAGTTTTTGAGATATCGGCGCTCAAAGTCAGATTTCCGATTTTATTGCCAATAGAGCACTCCAGTAGGCTACTACGTCCCCATTTTCCAAAATTTCCCGATTCCCAACACAGATTCGTTTATTACGATATCGAATTAGTCTATGTGAATTTTTTCAGATTTTTAATAGGCCTAATAAGAATTTTCATTTTCCCACCTGAGACTTCAGTACGATATAGTCGCCGAGCCATCTTCGGACGGCCGAAAGTGCCAGAAAACGACGGAAATCCACGCGAATTATCGCTTTTCCAGTAGAAAATGACACGCTGAATCGAATGAGACCATGATCAGCCCGATAGGACAGATAGTTTTTGAGATATCGGCGCTCAAAGTCAGCTCTTCGCTTTTTTGCCGATAGGAGCAATCCGGTAGGCTACTAGGTCTCCATTTTCCAAAATTTCTCGATTTCCAACAGAGATTCGTTAATTACGACATCGAATTAGTCCATGTGAATTTTTTCAGATTTTTAATAGGCCTAACAAAAATTTTCATTTTCCACCTGAGACTTCAGTACGATATAGTCGCCGAGCCATCTTCGGACGGCCGAAAGTGCCAGAAAACGACGGAAATCACGCGAATTATCGCTTTTCCAGTAGAAAATGACACGCTGAATCGAATGAGACCATGATCAGCCCGATAGGACAGATAGTTTTTTGAGATATAGGCGCTCAAAGTCAGTTTTCCGATTTTATTGCCAATAGGAGCACTCCAGTAGGCTACTACGTCTCCATTTTCCAAAATTTCCCGATTTCCAACAAGATTCGTTTTATTACGACATCGAATTAGTCTATGTGAATATTTTCAGATTTTTAATAGGCCTAATAAAAATTTTCATTTTCCCACCTGAGACTTCAGTACGATATAGTCGCCGAGCCATCTTCGGACGGCCGAAAGTGCCAGAAAACGACGGAAACCCACGCGAATTATCGCTTTTCCAGTAGAAAATGACACCTGAATCGAATGACACCATGATCAGCCCGATAGGACAGATAGTTTTTGAGATATCGGCGCTCAAAGTCAGCTTTCCGATTTTATTGCCAATAGGAGCAATCCGGTAGGCTTCTACGTCTCCATTTTCCAAATTTCCCGATTTCCAACACAGATTCGTTTATTACGACATCGAATTAGTCTATGTGAATTTTTTCAGATTTTTAATCGGCTAATGAAAATTTTCATTTTCCCACCTGAGACTTCAGTACGATATAGTCGCCGAGCCATCTTCGGACGGCCGAAAGTGCCAGAAAAACGACGGAAATCCACGCGAATTATCGCTTTTCCAGTAGAAAATGACACGCTGAATCGAATGAGACCATGATCAGCCCGATAGGACAGATAGTTTTTGAGATATCGGCCGTCAAAGTCAGCTTCCGATTTTATTGCCAATAGGAGCAATCCGGTAGGCTTCTACGTCTCCATTTTCCAAAATTTCCCGATTTCCAACACAGATTCGTTTATTACGACATCGAATTAGTCTATGTGAATTTTTTCAGATTTTTAATAGGCCCTAATAAAAATTTTCATTTTCCCACCTGAGACTTCAGTACGATATAGTCGCCGAGCCATCTTCACACGGCCGAAAGTGCCAGAAAACGACGGAAATCCACGCGAATTATCGCTTTTCCAGTAGAAAATGACACGCTGAATCGAATGACACCATGATCAGCCCGATAGGACAGATAGTTTTTGAGATATCGGCGCTCAAAGTCAGTTTTCCGATTTTATTGCCAATAGGAGCACTCCAGTAGGCTACTACGTCTCCATTTTCCAAAATTTCCCGATTTCCAACACAGATTCGTTTATTACGACATCGAATTAGTCTATGTGAATTTTTTCAGATTCTTAATAGGCCTAATAAAAATTTCATTTTCCCACCTGATACTTCAGTACAATATAGTCGCTGAGCCATCTTCGGACGGCCGAAAGTGCCAGAAAACGACGGAAATCCACGCGAGATATCGCTTTTCCAGTAGAAAATGACACGCTGAATCGAATGACACCATGATCAGCCCGATAGGACAGATAGTTTTTGAGATATCGGCGCTCAAAGTTAGTTTTCCGATTTTATTGCCAATAGGAGCACTCCAGTAGGCTACTACGTCTCCATTTTCCAAAATTTCCCGATTTCCAACACAGATTCGTTTATTACGACATCGAATTAGTCTATGTGAGTTTTTTCAGATTTTTAATAGGCCTGATAAAAATTTTCATTTTCCCACCTGAGACTTCAGTACGATATAGTCGCCGAGCCATCTTCACACGGCCGAAAGTGCCAGAAAACGACGGAAATCCACGCGAATTATCGCTTTTCAGTAGAAAATGACACGCTGAATCGAATGACACCATGATCAGCCGATAGGACAGATAGTTTTTGAGATATCGGCGCTCAAAGTCAGTTTTCCGATTTTATTGCCAATAGGAGCACTCCAGTAGGCTACTACGTCTCCATTTTCCAAAATTTCCCGATTTCAACACAGATTCGTTTATTACGACATCGAATTAGTCTATGTGAATTTTTTCAGATTTTCAATAGGCCTAATAAAAATTTTCATTTTCCACCTGAGACTTCAGTACGATATAGTCGCCCGAGCCATCTTCGGACGGCCGAAAGTGCCAGAAAACGACGGAAATCCACGCGAATTATCGCTTTTCCAGTAGAAAATGACACGCTGAATCGAATGAGACCATGATCAGCCCGATAGGACAGACAGTTTTTGAGATATCGGCGCTCAAAGTCAGTTTTCCGATTTTATCGCCAATAGGAGCACTCCAGTAGGCTACTACGTCTCCATTTACCAAAATTTCCCGATTTCCAACACAGATTCGTTTATTACGACATCGAATTAGTCTATGTGAATTTTTTCAGATTCTTAATAGGCCTAATAAAAATTTTCATTTTCCCACCTGATACTTCAGTACAATATAGTCGCTGAGCCATCTTCGGACGGCCGAAAGTGCCAGAAAACGACGGAAATCCACGCGAATTATCGCTTTTCCAGTAGAAAATGACACGCTGAATCGAATGAGATCATGATCAGCCCGATAGGACAGATAGTTTTTGAGATATCGGCGCTCAAAGTCAGTTTTCCGATTTTATTGCCAATAGGAGCACTCCAGTAGGCTACTACGTGTCCATTTTCCAAAATTTCCCGATTTCCAACACAGGTTCGTTTATTATGACATCGAATTAGTTTATGTGAATTTTTTCAGATTTTTAATAGGCCCAATAAAAATTTTCATTTTCCCACCTAAGACTTCCATAAGATATAGTCACCGAGCCATCTTCGGACGGCCAAAAGTGCCAGAAAACGGCGGAAATTATCGCTTTTTCAGTAGAAAATGACACGCTGAATCGAATGAGATCATGATCAGCCCGATAGGACAGGCGCTCAAAGTCAGCTTTCTGCTTTTATTGCCAATAGGAGCAATTCGGTAGGCTACTAAATCTCCATTTTCCAAAATTTCCAACAGAGATTCGTTTATAACGACATCGAATTAGTCTATGTGAATTTTTTCAGATTTTTAATAGGCCAAATGAAAATTTTCATTTTCACACCTGAGACTTCAGTACGATATAGTCACCGAGCCATCTTCGGACGACCGAAAGTGCCAGAAAACGGCGGAAATCCACGCGAATTATTGCTTTTCCAGTAGAAAATGACACGCTGAATCGAATGAGATCATGATCAGCCCGATAGGACAGATAGGTTTTGAGATATCGGCGCTCAAAGTCAGCTTCTGCTTTTATTGCCAATAGGTGCAATCCGGTAGGCTACGACGTCTCCATTTCCGAAAATTTCTCGATTTCCAACACAGATTCGTTTATTACGACATCGAATTAGCCTATGTGAATTTTTTCAGATTTTTAATAGCCAATTAAAAATGTTCATTTTCCCACCTGAGACTTCAGTACGATATAGTCACCGAGCCATCTTCGTATGGATGAAAGTGTCAGGAAACGGCCGAAATCCTCGCGAATTATCGCTTTTCCAGTAGATAATGACACGCTGAATCGAATGAGACCATGATCAGCCCGATAGGACAGATAGTTTTTGAGATATCGGCGCTCAAAACCAGTTTGACGATTTTATTGCCAATAGGAGCAAAATTTTCCGATTTCCACCACAGATTCGTTCATTTCGGCATCGAATTAGTCTATGTGAATCAACATTCTCTTCCAAATCGGATAAATCTTATGATGTATATTGATATAAAAATATAACTTACCAATGTATTCAGTATCGAAATTATGGAAAGAATGTGCTCAGACTATAGGGACCAACTTCATATCTTCATTGTTTAGTCCTAGTATGGAAAGTATTTGTTCCCTACTGAATATTTCGATAATTATATATCCATTTTTTTATGTTCATAATATACAGGGTGGTCCGATTAGTAATACAAAAATCTCAACAGTGTGTTGAACTCGTTGAAATAATATTAAAAGTTCATATACTCTTAAATGCGTCGATTTCGAGATATAGGGTGTTAAAAATACTAGTCTGAATATTGTTTTTTGATGATAAGTTCGAAACGGTTTGAGATAAATCAACAACAACATCAACAACAAGATATCAGATATTAACCTTTTTAACGAAAAATGAAAAATGTGAGCTTTTTAACTCGCAAAATGTAAAGAATTTGTAAACTTTTGAATAATACAACAAGATAGTACCCAGAATCATCCAGAATATATTTTCAGGAAATTGTCCCTCTACAAGTTTGCATAACTTGCTATAATGTACTGGAGAGAATCGAGATATTCTCCAAGAATTGTCTAGAAGCAGATGAAAAAATGAAGAGGCATATAGCACTAAAAAAAAAGTTTGATCGATCTGACAGCAACATTCCTTCCTCAAGTACATTCTTCACTAGATCTTCCAATACCAGAACTAGTGGTATTATAATTCAGTCTGAACGTGGACCTATGCTTGGTTTCCCTGTTGACAAAGTGACTGAAAAAATCAAGATCGAGAATATCGGGTAAGATGAATATGAATGACTGTTTGCATAGACAATGATATATCCAACAATCAACCTCATTATGATGTTTATTAAATTCAATGGTCATATTTGACGAAGATTATTTTTGATGTCTAATGTACAGGGTGATCAGTTGAGAGTAGCGAGTGGCCATATCTCATCAACATATTGGTCGTATAGATTTGAGAGGGCTACCCTTAACTGATCACCCTGTACATACAAACAATGGACGAGTAGCTACACTGTTTTTCTTATTCAGAATCTGTACACTAACACTTATATAATATTTTTGAAACAATTATTATGGTTTTGAGGTATTGACATCGCAGGAGTAACCATACCCTTGAAGACATCCATTTTGATGCTTGGTATTACTATCAGCAATAACCTTTCTTGGCAAAATCACGTGAGATCAATTGCTAAAAGTGCATCCCAAAAACTAGGTTTCCTCTCGGGTTTCCTGTTTCGGACCAGGAGCTATTTCACTTCCAGTCAGCTGCTTATGATCTATGCACAGATCCGACCTGTCCTGGAATACTGTTTCCATATTTGGATAGTGCATCATCCAAACATACCCTGAAACTGTTGGATTCTGTCCAAAAAAGGGCAATGCGTCTCGTGGGTGATGCCTCGCTCACAAACTCACTCACTTCTCTGGGACACCGTAGAAAAGTTGGCGATCTGGCTCTATTTTATAGATATTTTCATGGATGATGCTCTTCTGAAATATCAACAATTGTTCCTCCCTTGGCAGTCCCCGCGAGATTAACCCGTCAAGTTGAGGCTTCGCACCCCTTCCTGGTCACTTTGGAGACCAACAGAACATTTCTTTTCAGAGACTGTTCATCCAACGAACAGCGAGGCTCTGGAACACATTGCCAAGGGGGGTGTTCCCCAAGGCATATAACCTCCAGAAATTCAAGGAGAACACCAATTCCTACCTTATATCTCTTGGTTCTCACGATGTTCTTTGAACATTACAGGATATTCCTTTTCGTGGGAACCAGAATTTAAAAAAAATAAAGTTACGTTACATTCGAATGGTTGAGAATCAACTGGATAATATTTGTGAAAAACTTCAAATGCAATGAGATTTATTGAAGACTGGAACCTTTTCACACTTTTTTACACTTTATACGTGTTTCCCTAACTATGTTAGCATCAACTCTTGAGTGTGACTTTATCTGTGATTTTGAGACCTTCCAACCATTTTGAAAATTGATAAAAACAGTGTGGAGATCATGAATAAAAAATCAAAATTCAGTCCATCAGCCAATTGACTAAAAAACAGCATGATTTATACAGGGTGATCCACAGTGGATGGCCCATTAGAAGTATCTGGAGAACGAAAAGAAAGAACATTCTGAAAATTGGGATGCTCTGATAATTGAACATTCTCTATCCGTCTAAAATATTTTCATCGATACAGTGTTGCCACTTCAATCAGAAACAACTAGCAACTTCGTTATTTAAAATGGAGCACCATGTATTTCATTGCATTTTCAGATTCTTCCTGAAGAGCTGATTTCATCAATGCATCACACTTGGGGTCTAGCAGGAATGATTACAGAGATATAGGGTGTTCAAAATCGACATTTTTCAATTTTAGGTTTTTTTGTGTCAAAACTATTCATTATCGATCAAAACGGTTTACATGTCCCTATCTCAACTTTCAATTCACTATCTACTGACATTTAATTGGAACAGGGTGATCAGAATACTGAATCTTGAAGCACCATTCTTTCCAACTAAATTCCAGTAGATAGTGAATCAAAAGTTAAGATAAGGACATCTAAGCCGTTTTGATCGATAATGAATAGTTTCGACACAAAAAAATCCTAAAATTGAAAAATCTCCATCTTGAACACGCATATCTCTGTAATCATTCCTGCTAGACCCCAAGTGTGATGCATTGATGAAATCAGCTCTTCAGGAAGAATCTAAAAATGCAATAATATACAGGGTATTCCATTTGAAATAACAAAGTTGCTAGTTGTTCCTGATGGAAGTGGCAACACTGTATCGATGAAAATATTCTAGACGGATAGAGAAAGTTCATTTATTACAGCATGCCAATTTTCAGAATGTTCTGTCTTTTCGTTCTCCAGATACTTCTAATAGGCCATCCACCGTGGATGACCCTGTATATCCTTTCAGCTCTTCAAGATCCAGTAAGACATTATTGGCGCAGCTCATGTTGGAACATGGTCAATCTTTGAAAACCGATTTGTACCAACAAGACGTTTGGTCGGTTATTTGTGATAAAATGCAACAACAAGGCGTCGGCTGTAATGTGCCTGGCTTGATGAATGTGTGGAAGAAAATGGTTCAAGACACCAAAATCAAGTTCGATACGTAAGTGAAATGTAAAACCTCAGAGTAATCAGTTATAAACATTGCTGTACGAATTGAAAGAAAGAATAATGAAATAAACCTATGACGTCTAAAGGATTTCGAAATAACCGATTTGCAATGGGTACATACAGCAATGTTTTTGTTGTTCATACTCCTCAACGCAGAGAAAAGCCAAGCTGTTCTCTTCACTAGACGACGTACCAAACCCACAGGACACGTAATACTAAACGACACACAGATACCATGGGCAGACGAGGCAAAATATCTAGGGGCAACCCTAGATAACAAACTCACTTTCAGACAACACATCACAACACGACTAAACTTGGGTAAAGCCGCAAGGCAAAACCTACAGCCGAAGCAACATGGCTCTAGAGTTGAAGCTGCGCCTAATAAGAACCATTCTACTTCCAATAATTTTGTATGCATCAAGTCGTTACCACCGATACAACAAGGCCAGCAGACCTCTGACGTAAACAGGTCGTGACGTCACCAAGAGAGGCCAGTGTTTAATTTTATCGCTTGTCGACTAACGCGTCAGTTCGTGTTAATTCATCGGTGATTCACGTATGTTTTTGAAACGGTCCCGAATTCTTTTGTTGTTTATTCATCAACATAATTGGCGGAAAAATTACTGTTTTGTGAAATATTTCGTGTTGTGATCGGCGAAATAACAATGCCTTTCAAGTGTTGTGTTCCCTTTTGTCGGGGGAATTATGTGGGTGGTTCAAAAGTTCATGCTTTTAGTTTCCCGTTGGACGAGGAGCTATCGAAAATGTGGGTATATGCAATTCACCGCGAGGATTTTACTCCATCTAAGTTCAGTAGTAAACAGCTTAATTTATAATGATGAATTAATAATAGAAGACAATTACTCTCTCATAAAAAGTATAAGTAGAGGAAAAATTGAAAAGCTTTGATTGTGCAGTTAGTTTTGTATTCGTATATTATAGTCAACAAAATCATCTCTGAATTCGAGGAAATTTTCTTGAATGTTCATAATAAACGGGCATTTTTAATTCTCATTCTCAAATTTCTTCCTGCCTCGTGGCAATGAATGCAGAATTCATTCCAATGATCAAATTGCAACTATCATATTAACATGAACTACAAACACTCTACTCAAAAAAGGTAAAACTGCATTTATCATGATATTTATCATGAAAATATTCGACTAAAAAGTTCCAAATTTCACCTTCTTTTTCACCTGTCTTCTGGATGGCATTTAGAACAAATTTCCCTTCTCTTTTCATCATATTGGACAATTTATATATAATTCAACTATAAATATGATTTTTTTTTAGATTAATCCATATTTAGTGAAAAGAAGGAAGAATATCATTCAAAATAATGGCGTGTGTAATGTCATTCGAAAGCAATCTATTGACATTTGACATCTCGTATTTTGATTGACTATTGATTAAATGGTCGTCATCTGGAATGCTTGTTCACTAAATATGAAAAACTCGCCATAAAAATCATATTTCCTGTTGAATTTTCTATATAAAAATGTGCCATCGAAGTACATCATGAGTACATAAAGTGTCCAATGACAAAATAAGAGCAAGTAGCTTCAAATGCCCCCAACACAAGGGGAGAAAGAAGGCGAAATTTTGAACTTTTTCTTGAAATATCTCAATAAATAGTGGTTTGTTCACATTTTCATTATAAAATTCGGTTTATCAGACAAAAATACGTGAGTACCAAAAAAAATTTCAAAAAAAAACCAACGCATGATAAATGCAGTTTTACCCTTAAAAATT